TTTATACCTTGGTCATCACAGATAAAGAGAAGTCAGAGAAATTGATGCAGTCCCTGTACCCTAGTTTGGCAGTGAAGGAACTGAAATGAACCAGACATACTTATTTGAATTGTATTAAAATGTTTAAAACTTAAAAAAATAAAATTGTAGCCTAGCTGGTGTGGCTCAGTGGTTGAGCACCGACCTGTGAACTAGGAGTTCATGGTTTGATTCTTGGTCAGGACACATGCCGGGTTGCAGGCTTGATATCCAGTAGGGTACATGTAGGAAGCAGCTGATCAGTGATTATCTCTCATCATTGATGTTTATTATTTTATTTATTTATTTTGTCCTCACCCAAGAATATTTTTCCATTGATTTTTAGAGAGTGGAAGGGCAGGGGAGAAACAGTGAAACATCCATGTAAGAGATACATTGATTGGTTGCCTCCTGTGACTGCAGCCGGGCCAGGGATTGAGCCTGCAGCCGAGGAAGGGGGTACATGCCCTGTGCCCTTCATTGGAATCAAACCTGGGACCCTTCAGTCTGCAGGCCGACACTCTAACCATTGAGCCAAACCGCCTAGGGCTCATCATTGATGTTTCTATCTCCCTCTCTGAAATCTAAAAATATATTTTAAAAAATAAAATAAAATTGTAACCTTTGGGGCCACGTGTGGTCTCTGTCACGTATGTATGTGTATACATTTGTACACAATCTTAAAAACATGTAATACCATTTTTAGCTCCTAGGCAGTATAGAAACAGACCATGGGTCAAATCTGGTGATTAGATGTTCCTGAAATAAAATATTAAACCATGTTTTAAATTTTATAACGTTTCAATGGGAGGGGCAAAGTATTTTGTGAAGATGGCAATCTGGGTTTGCTATTTCTTTATTTTAACTCCAGTCTTTCTCTTGCCTGAACCAAAAAGCTGCTGGGACATATGGTGCCTTAGCCTTTAGAGCAGTGGTTCTCAACCTTCTGGCCCTTTAAATACAGTTCCTCATGTTGTGACCCAACCATAAAATTATTTTCATTGCTACTTCATAACTGTAATGTTGCTACTGTTATGAATCGTAATGTAAATATCTGATATGCAGGATGGTCTTAGGCGACCCCTGTGAAAGGGTCGTTTGACCGCCAAAGGGTTGCGACCCACAGGTTGAGAACCGCTGCTTTAGAGTATCCCAGGGAGGTAATGTAGTTGACTTTATTTTTGCAAGATGGTTACAAAAATATATTTAAAAAACAAGTTGCTTTTGTATATAAAACCATACCATGATTATACACACATATGGTTTTATATCTTTTATTACTCTTAAATATATGGGAAGCTACATTCTAGGAAGTTGATATAGAGTGGTACACTAGTAGAGAAAGGGAACATAAGCCCAAAAGGGAAGGAAAATACTATATTAAATGTGTACGACAATGCATTTGTGCATTTATGTAAAATCACATGTGCTTGGACTGCATGGCTCAGTGGTTGAGTGTGGACGTATGAACCAGGAGGTCGAGGTTCCGTTCCTGGTCAGGGCACATCCCTGGGTTGCAGACTAGATCCCCAGTGTGGGGCGTGCAGGAGGCAGCCAATCAATGATTCTCTCTCATCATTGATGTTTCTATCGCTCTCCCTCTCCCTTCCTCTCTAAAATCAATAAAATATATTTTAAAAATATTTCTAAAATAAAATAAATTCACATGTATTACTACTTATGCATAAGAAATCAGAAATTTTCTGGTTTTGCTCTTCATTTTTGAATATTAAACTTAGATATTTCACTTTCAACCATTAGATAATTTAGTAGTACTTTTTTAATGGTCTTAAAACTTTAGTGATGGAGTCTTAAGTGGATTTATTGGGTGGTTTAGATTTTATCTTGTGATCTAAATAGGATTCGTCTTGTTAGTACCTAATAGTTTTACTTTTCACTATGCATTAGGGTTACGCATATACTTTTATCACAGAAGATCAAGCTCGCTATGCTGGTGACATCATTAAAGCTCTTGAATTGTCTGGGACTGCAGTACCTCCTGATCTAGAGAAACTGTGGAGTGATTTCAAAGATCAACAGAAAGCTGTGAGTTTTTTTAACTCCCATTTTAATGTAAATCATTATTGTGTTCTAAACTTTGAATATTTAATATAGGACTTTTAAATCTTGAAAGGATTATTTTCTTTTGTCTTCATTGTTGAAAGTAAGACAGATATACCCTTTTTCCTCCCATTGACCCACCCTTTCTGAACTGTCCCTCCCCCCACTCTCGGCCTTCACCACACTATTGTCTATGTCCATGGGTTATGCATATATGCATATAAATTCTTTGGTTAACCCCCAGGATTACTTTTATTTATCTCTAGGGAGGGGGGAAAAAGAGTGAAAGTAAAATCCTTTTGATTAAATTTAGTATTTTCAGTCGTTTACCTACAGATCTAATTTTTTTCTCACATGCTAGATGAAGTGTTTTTGTTAAATTGTCATACTACACCTTAAACGATATTAAATTGCTGTAAATTTCTTAACATTAAAATTTTTAACTATGAAATTAACTTTTTTTTTTTCCTTGAAAGGAAGGGAAAATAATTAAAAAGAGTAGTGGGTTCTCTGGTAAGGGATTCAAGTTTGATGAAACAGAACAAGCTTTGGCTAATGAGAGAAAGAAGTTACAAAAAGCAGCTCTTGGTCTCCAAGATTCAGATGATGAGGATGCTGCAGTCGATGTAAGTGTTGTTCTAAGTCTCTTTCTTGCCCATTGAAACAGTTTTTCTTTTCGTACTTGTTGAGATAGCTAATTACTGGAAACCTTGGTTTGTATCCTTCCCAATCTTATCTTATGTATCTACATATATTCACATGTGCTCGCATTTATGTATTTTCATAAAAATGAGATCATACTGCTTTAAGACCTTTTGTTGCAGTAACAGTCTTAATCGAAATCTTCCCATTTTAGTAGTTACATCATTATTTTTTTTTAAATCCTCACCCGAGGATATATTTTTATTGATTTTTTAAAATATGTTTTTATTGATTTCAGAGAGAGGAAGGGAGAGAGAGAGATAAACATCGATGATGAGAGAGAACTATCAATCGGCCACCTCCTGCACACCCTGTATTGGGGATCGAACTCACAACCCAGGCATGTTCCCTGACTGGGAATCAAATCCCCAACCTTTTTGGTGTACGGGTTGATGCTCCAACCAACTGAGCCACCTCTTTTACATTATTCTTGATGGCTACATCGTACTCTATTGTATGGATGTTCTACCGTTCAATGAATCAAACATTTATTTTAAATATATGGGTTGTTTCTATATATTTATTATTTGGAATATACTGTACTTTACTATTATATACTACTAGAGGCCTGGTGCACGAATTCGTGTTCGGGTGGGATCCATCAGGGTGGCCTGCGGAGATTGGGCCCCAGCTTACACCCCTAGGCTCACAGCCCCAGCTTGTGCCCCCAGCCTCGTAGCCTCGCCTGGCACCCTGCCTTGGCCTGGTGCTGCCCCCTCACCTCCTCCACCATCCTGCCTGTGGGCAATCATTTGGGGCCAGGGCCCCGCCTCCCTCTCCCCCCCAGCTCCCTCAGCACCTGGGAGCCAGGTGGCGGCCCCGCCCCCTGCCACCACAGCTGCTGGTCGCCGTCTGCCATGTTCCGCGCTGCCCCTGGTGGTCAGCGCACATCATAGCAAGCGGTTGAACTCCCGGGCTAACGGCTATCCAAGGGGACAATTTGCACATTAGGCTTTTATTATATAGGATACTTCAGTGCTTATCCTTGCACATTTATGAGATTCGGTCTGGAGAATGAGTGTATAAAAGGAATTGCTAGTCTTAAACTATTGTCAGATTGTTATTACAGCAAAGTAAATGTATAGTTTTCACTCACTGTAGTGATTTATCAGAGTTCCTAGTTCCCCATATCTTTAGCAATATTGGTATTAATGTTGATCTTTTAAAATTTGTTATAGAACATCCTTATATAATAAAAGCCTAGTATGCTAAGTGCCCAGTTGTCTGGGCATCCGTTCAACCAAAGTGTAATATGCTAATGAATACTAAGGCCGCTCAACCGCTTGGTATGATGTGCACTGAGCACCAGGGGGCAGACGCTCTGACCGGTAGGTTAGCTTGCTGCTGGGATCTGGCCAATTGGGACTGAGTGAGACGGGCCAGACACACCCTGGAGCCCTCCTGTGGTCCCTCCCCTGCTGGCCAACCTCTTGCATCCCTCCCTGGCCCTGTTCATGCACTGGTGGGGTCCCTTTGCCTGGCCTATGCCCTCTCGCAACCCAGGACCCCTCAGGGGATGTTAGAGAGCCGGTTTCGGCCCGATCCTGCTCAATGCAGAAGCTGCCCCCTGGTGGTCAGTGTGCTCCCACAGGGGAGAGCCGCTCAGCCAGAAGCCGGGCTCACGGCTGGCGAGTACAGTGGTGGTGGCAGGAGCCTCTCCCGCCTCTGCGGCAGCGCTAAGGATATCCAACTGCCGGCTTAGGCCCGCTCCCCAGGGGGAGCGGGCCTAAGCCATCATTCGGACATCCCCCGAGGGCTCCTGGACTATGAGAGGGTGCAGGCTGGGCTGAGGGACCCGCCCCCTCCAGTACACGAATTTCGTGTACTAGGCCTCTAGTTAATAATAACAGTCAACATTTATTGAGTGCTGCTAAGTGCCATGCACTGTGCCAAGTGCTTTACAGGGATTATTTTGTTTACTTCTTTATAGTAATCACATGAAGTAGTACTCAAAAGTATTCTCATTTTATAATTGAGGAGACAGGCTTAAACAAATAATCTTTTCAGATTTATATTGCTATTATGGGAATAAATGAGTTGGGACCTGTATCTATTTCATTCTACTTTAAAGTCCATGTCCTTAATGTATGGAATTATTTGTGATCCAGTGAAGGGGGATCCTGAGGACTTAACAAGATGCAGGTTTCACGGAGTATTTCTTGGAACCCTAACCTCTCAGGAGCTTGAGCTTTAGAACAGTATTTTTTAAAAAAAACTGGTTTTTCAAACTGTTATGTTTCACTCATAAAAGTAATGAAGGGGTATCTGAGAAGATGTTTTCATTATAAAAGAATTTTGGGATATCTGCCTAGTACAGGGGTGGGCAAACTTTTTGACTCGAGGGCCACAATGGGTTCTTAAACTGGACCGGAGGGCCGGAACAAAAGCATGGATGGAGTGTTTGTGTGAACTAATATAAATTCAAAGTAAACATCATTACATAAAAGGGTACGGTCTTTTTTTTTTTTTAGTTTTATTCATTTCAAACGGGCCGGATCCATCCCGCTGGCCGTAGTTTGCCCACGGCTGGCCTAGTATATGCCACTAGTAGTGGCATTAATATATCAAAGGATGTGATAAGTCCTTAATTAAAGAAGCCTTGTTTAACTTTGCTTAACCCAGAAATTCTCCAACATTTCCAATCTCTGATCATATAACATTTTTTCACACACCCTATTAAACCTTAGCTTAGAACACAATTTTGGAAATCAGGAATTCAATCTGTTATTGTCATTTGAGGAATTGTGTCCCAGAAAAGTATTTAGTCCATGACCACAGTGGCTGTTAACCACAGCCAGGACCAGAACCCAGGTTTCCTATTAACCCCAGGCCATTTCTTTCTAGTATACCAGATTGGCTTACAAGGCAATTAAGTCAGTGTTTAGTTATCCGTAATGCTGTAACAAATCAATCCAAGACTTAGTAGGGTAAAAGAATAAACATTTATTATCTCATAGTTCCCGAGGGTCAGGAAATGAGGAGCATTTAGCCAGGTGGTTGTGGCTAGGGATCATATGCGACTGCAGTCAAGTTGTTGTCCCCAGTTGCAGTGACGCAGGGCCATCTTCTTCCAAGATGGCTCACTTACTTTGCTGTTGGCAGAATGCTTCCGTTCTTTACTGCTCTGCCTGCATGCCCTCAGAGCATGGCAGGGCCTTTTCCCAGAGCAAGTGATCCTAGAGAGAGCAAAGAGGAAGACTTAGTGCCTTTTATGACTAGTTTCTGAAGTCACACACTAGCACTTCTACAAAGCAAGTCACAGTCCAGCCCATACTCATGAACAGGTTCTACCTCTTGAAGGGACGAGTATTAAAGAATTTGTGGCCTTGTTTTTATACCTCAGTGTTGTTTTTATTGTCACTTTGAACATTTAAAAAAATTTATTGTTTCTCTAATTGTTGAAATAAAATATACTTTTGGTAAAAAATGGGAACAATACTGAAGTGAATAAAGTCAAAAGTAAAGTTACCCCTACCAGCTAGCACCATACACATTCTCCATTTCTGATTTTATGCATTTGTTTTGGATTTTAATGCTATATGTGCTGTTTAATATAAAACTGTTAAATGAAGGTTTTTCTAAATTAACCTAATTAAATTTAAACCCTCAACAAAATTTCCTCTTCATTTAATATTTGAAAGATAAGACCCTGTTAGCCTAATCTGAATATATGAAGAGGTTTATATCTCTTTAGTTGGCAGTGTTAATCATAATTTTGGGGCAAAAAGCATCTTTAAAAGGAACTGCAAATAGTTTATAAGGTAGATGAGACAAATCTGAGAATTGCACAGTCATCGTAGGAATTGTGTGATTCCTGGAGAGCAAGGGCTTTCGGCATTGCTTTTGCTTTGATGGGGAAACCTACCTTCATTTCTTTTCTTTCTTAGCTCAAAGGAATATAGTAGTACATTGTTCTTTTCTGATTCTGTTACCTGGTTTTTAAAGCAAATCCAGTTGAATTTTAAGAGTCTGGAAGAATTTTGGGAGCTTTATCCTAGGAACATGGTTGTATCATTCTCCCTGAGAATCACTGACTCTCCCCCCGTCCCCCAGTATTTTATTTTATTTTTTAATATATTTTTATTGATTTCAGAGAGGAAGGGAGAGGGAGAGAGAGATAGAAACATCAATGATGAGAGAGTCATTGACTGGCTGCCTCCTACACGTCCCTTACTGGGGATCGAGCCCACAACCCGGGCATGTGCCCTTGAATGGAATCGAACCTGGGACCCTTCAGTCTGCAGGCCGACGCTTTATCCACTGAGCCAAACAGGCTAGGGCTCATTATCTCTTTTTTAAATTGGCCGTTGGCCCTAAGTTATTGCCCTTCTTCCAGCCTCTTTCAATACAGTATATTTGGCCTCTAGGCCTGAGTGCTGGGGCATTTTAGATGCATCATGTTGGCTGCTCTGTCTTGACAACACACATTCCTTATTTGCTGAACTGTGAAGTATTTTCTGGATCACTCAAGAGTCTGCATAATGGTTCGTGTAGCATTGTATCTGTTTTCTATTTTTTTCACCAAACTGATTTTTTAAAATGAAATGTGTCGCTCTTAACCAATAGCTGGTATATTTTCCTGTTCATCTGTGTGGTTGAATTAACATAAATGTAATTGATTCTAGACTTCTGGTAGAAATATTTTTTATTAGTTTCTATAGATACACCTGAATTGGTATTTTTAATTCAACTTTTGCTGACCTTTTTTTCATTTTGTTTAGATTGATGAGCAAATTGAAAGCATGTTTAATTCAAAGAAGAGAGTGAAGGATATGGCTGCTCCTGGAACATCTAGTGTTCCTGTTCCAACTGCTGGAAATGCTGAGAAATTAGAAATTGCTAAAAGATTGGCTCTTAGAATCAATGCTCAGAAGAATTTGGGCATTGAGTCTCAGGTATTAAGTAATTTGTTCCAAGTTTTAGTCAAAACTTTCTATAAGTTCTTTGATTTAAATGCTTTTTAGGAATTATGATGAGAGAGAATCATTAATTGGCTGCCTTTTGCACACCCCACACTAGAGACTGAGCCTGCAACCCAGGCATGTGCCCTGATGGGGAATTGAACTGTGACAGTGCTCAACAACTGAGCTACGCTGGCTGGGCTAACTGAGGTCTTAATGCCTATTTTGGAAGGCTGAACTGTTAAGCATGTTAGCCATGGAACATGTTATAAAGTACTTTACTAATTGCTCTTACCAGAATATTAAAGAAATAACTCTCGTTTTCTCTACTGATTTGCTTTTACTGGGTGTGTTTTAAAGATTTTTAGAGTTTGGGGATCTGCGGGCAGGCCCTCTGTCCAGTAGGCTATATAGTTTCAGGTTTATAGCACCTAAGCTGGGATGACCAAGCCATAGGTTAGTGATGGAACCAGGCTCGGAACCTCTGGTCTCTGAGTCTTTGTTTAGCCAGTGAGGTATCATGAAGTATTTACTGCCCCCAAGCCTGTGCCACCTCAGAGATGGGATGGCAGTACCTAAATTTTCTGGGATTATTACTGCTAATAACTCTTTATTAGAGAAATCAAATAGCTGTAACTTTTCACTGTTCGAAAATCTTGAGGTATGAGTCAGGTATTACCCATGGAAGGGTTCTGTTCAGATTAAGCTTATAGTAAAATTAAGTTCAAATTAAAAAAGCTAAAAGGTGTTGAGTAAGTAATTTACTATCATTTATTGAATATTGGGTTGGACCATGGGAGAAGAACTCAGTGGTGATAGGGCACAAAGATTCTAATTCAGAGGAAATTCCTGGGAGTCCCAAAGCATGTAAATTATTTTAGGAATATACTATGTTCAATATCAAGAGTTACCTAATTATCTATAATCCAGTAGAACTTTTTTATTTTTTATTATTTTTATTAATGCAATTTTTTGTACCTTTAAAATTATTTTTTATTGATTTTTAGAGGAAGAGAGAGAGAGAGAGAGAGAGAGAAGAGAGAGAAATATCAATCGTTTGCCTCCTACACGCACCCCAGCTGGGGATTGAACCGTAACCTGGGTATATGTCCTGACTGGGAATCGAACCCGCCACCTTTTTGGTATATGGAATGACTCTCCACCCAACTGAGCCACACTGGCCGGGGCTATGAGCCAGTAGAACTTTTAATATAGAGTTGAATGTTCTTTAATTTTCTCATCAAAGTAAAGGCTATATATCAAACTACCAGTTAAAAACATATACTGCTAAATTGCACATATGGTAGGAATCTACATTAGAAAGATGCTTTTAATTAGTGACTTTACAGAGAGTAATTGGTGGGGTCCCTGATCTTGTCTCTGCCCTCAATTGAGATTTGACTGTAGTTCTTCTTAACTGCAGGATGTGATGCAGCAGGCCACCAATGCAATTCTCAGAGGTGGTACCATCCTGGCTCCCACTGTGTCTGCAAAAACCATTGCAGAGCAACTTGCTGAAAAGATCAATGCCAAGCTCAATTATGTGCCTTTGGAGAAACAAGAAGAAGAGAGACAGGATGGTGGACAGAATGAATCTTTTAAGAGATATGAGGAAGAATTAGAGATCAATGACTTCCCACAGGCAAGTAACAGATTTAAACATTTTGTGGAGTAGGAGCTTTTCTAAAAAATACATTTTTTCATTGACTTCAGAGAGGAAGGGAGAGGAAGAGAGAGATAGAAACATCAGTGATGAGAGAGAATTGTTGATCAGCTGCCTCCTGCACGCCCCACACGAAGGATTGAGCTTGCAACCTGGGCATGTACCTTCACCAGGAATTGAACTGTGACCTCCTGGTTCATAGGTCAACACTCAACTGAGCCACGCCAACTGGACGTGGAGTAGGAACTTTTGTTTCTTAGGATTGAAACCCTCTTCTTGAAAACCCATGAACATTTAATTTTGTTTATCTTTACTTTAAAAATGTTTTTAAAATTACAGTTTTCATTAAATATTATTTTGTATTAGTTTCAGGTGTACAGCATAGTTGTTAGAAAATCATATACTTTACAAAGTGCCGTGAACATTTTAATAGCTACTTTTTATCTAGATGGGGGAGACAACAATAGAAATTCCATTTTTATGAATATGTTCTAGGCATGTTAGGACTTAAATGAATTTATGATGATGTTAATTACAGTCTTAATATTGACCATAATATGATTTAGACAACCTATTCTTTGTCAGTGCACTCAGCTTTTAAATCCTGTTATGAAGTGATTTCCCCCCCACCCTTTCTTTTATAGACTGCTAGGTGGAAAGTTACCTCTAAGGAAGCTCTGCAGAGAATCAGTGAATATTCTGAAGCTGCAATTACAATCAGAGGAACATACTTCCCACCTGGCAAGGAACCCAAGGAAGGAGAGCGGAAAATTTACTTGGCAATTGAAAGTATGTACTGTTGGTTCTGTTTCAAGGTTGATGTAAATGTAATAGAGAGAATGTGAATTCAGTTCTAGAAAATAACGAATACCTATAAAAATTAATTTTATATGTTATTTGAGTTCTTTATTTAGAAGGTTAGTACACAAAGTTGAAATGATCCGTGTTTGGACAATTCATTCAAATCTGAAAATCACTTTGAAAGAAAAGGACTTTTCTTTTAAGGATTAATCTGTTTATACTTCTATTAAGTAGAACATTCTGGCCAAAGTTTAGTTTAGAAAATAAGTCAACTATATTAATAATCTACTTAATGAATTTTTAAGCAAATATTGCCTCAGAAATTATGTCCATAAAAGTTCATGCAGACCTTTAAAAAATAACGAAAGGACAACTAATACCATAACTTGAAGAGTATAAGTAATGCATTAACTAAGAGTGATCTGGTTTGCATTTTGTTGTTGTTGTTATTACTCCTCACTCTAGGATATTTTGTCCATTGATTTTTAGAGAGAATGGAAGGGAGAGACAGAGACAGAGAGAGACACATCGATTGGTTGACTCCCGCACACATCCCCATTGGGGTGGGGATTGAGCCTGCAACTGAGGCATGTGCTACTGACCAGAACTGAACTTGGGACTCTCTAGTCCAAGAGATGACGTTCGAATCACTGAGCAAAACCGGCTAGAGCTGGTTTGCTTTTTAACCTGTTGTCATACGTTCATGTGTGAATTCAGAAGGTAGTTTTCATTTTTATTTGTTTTCCTAACATGCTATTCTGCTGTGTGTGTGGTAGGACTCTGCCTCCCTTTATTCTTATTTAATTGGAAC